GAGAGGATCACGTTTATCGTTTGATCGAATCCCTTTAGCAATCCCTTTTACGAAATAACATGTTGGAAAATGTTAATATGTGCTTTAAGAAGTAAAAAAATTTACAAAGTATCTCCTTCCGTTAAACAAAATGAATACCACTATGACACGTCCATCCGAAGTGATGATTTCAACCGTTACTGTGGTAAGCGCAAAATTTTCATTCGAAAGGTGAAGTGATGTGAGTTAAGGAATGTAAATTTTTACGTGACATCGTATATCAACATTGATGGGAATATCTCGCTATTCGAAGATAATCGATGTCACGGAGGCAAGATAAATTAAAATTTTTAATCAATTATTATATAACACTGCTATATAATACTATAATTAATTAATTATGTTCTTCGAATTTCGGGAATTCTAATAAAAAGAAAAAGGATACAATCTACGAATTTTTGTAATTCCGCCATGGCTTTTTGATGACGATTCTAATAATCCAACCCGCGTCTCTTTCAAGAGTGCGGCTTCTAGAAAATCTTGAGTTGTTTCTTAATTTGAGTAAAGAAAATGGTGCTCGGTGTTATTTCGGGGATGTTTATAAACACTGATACTCGTCTGAATAAAGGTATTCCGAAAACGACGAATGAGTTCACCGTTTCCTGATAGTGGGAAGAAAATAAATGTCGTTATTTCAAGAGGTAGACATCTTTCCACCATCAATGTTCCAAAAGTCTTTCATACCGCGTTTTCTACGCGTTTGGAAATCTGAAAAGTTGCAAAAAGAAAAACCTAGTGCGCTGAAGAGGCCAACGAGGTTATATTTAATTTAAATTTGTATATTTTGGTTGTGCTACCTGGAACCGAGTTAAAATTCACGTGACGAATAACTCCGTGATTTATTTTATTATCGAAATGATTATTTGACACAAATACTGTATATTAGTTTAATATTAGGCATATATATCCGAACTTTATTAATCGTCATCATCAAAATCCGACAGAAATTCTATTTCGTGAGAACAAAGATTGGGGTCCT